TATTCTCTCCTGACACCTAGCACAACAAAATCATCTACATGCTGTAGGACGCAACCTATTGCGGTCTGTGTTGTCGCATCTCTGTCTGGTCGCATACTCAGGTCTTTGACGTCAGCAAGTCACGTCCTTATCTCGGCCTCGCGTTGTCTTTCTTCTGTCTGGTTTATGATTTTGCTTATTTCTGTTTCTTTTCTTTAATATTACGCTATGAAAACGAAGCGCGACAGCTTTATGAATCTTTATCCTATTATTCACCTTAGTTCATCAACAATTTCAATAATACTGTTTTTTTCTGGTTCCTGTTCACACCTAACAGCATTGTCATTGCTCTGTGAATGAAGTTTCCCTTCATTTTTGTGTGGTCAGTATACTTAAGCTCCCTTCTCCCTTCGTGCTCGTAGTTTGGTCATGATCATGTTCAGTATATTTATTCTCTACGCATCGATCTACCTATGTATGTGCATGTTTATACTTACTGCTCCTACTGTGACCAAGGTCGACATTCCCAACCGTACTATCGTGCTTTGTCCTCAATTTGGCCTGAACTCTGTTCACTTTTACTTTCAATCGCGTCGGTTTCTGTTCTTCCGCTCAACCCCTACTCCAAATATTTTGTCTATGTATTTGTTTTTCTTGTCCGATAGATCTACCGACCGAACGACCGATCTTTTCATCGAATGGTGAACAATCGATCGGTCGGAGAAACGAGTCACATTTGAAATGAGAAGTGTACTGCATTTCATTTGCCCGAATCATTAAAAGCTCACAATGTGTCGTTAAGTGTGATAAATTCATGTTGATCGGAAACCTCCTATGTTTTCCTTGTCGCTGTTGGCCTATCCACACTGAATGATTGCGCATGTTGCTCGCGTATCTTTTTCTCATCCATTGATCGACCTCTGAGGTATTTGGCTTCTAAGCGTGTAACATCTTATCGCGCAGCGGATGTTTGGTATGAAACAGTCGTTTATGAATAGTCACAAATCGTGAAGTGCCAGTGAGGCCACAAATTATTGTGTATTTCTCCACAATCGCGTTACCCAGATTGCTCACTTCCGACAGATAGAATGACATATCCTCGTGACGTTGCGCACGATATTATCCTCTTGTGCCGTTTTAGGGGAGAGGGGTGGCTACCATGTGAGCAATAAACACATTTTCACTCTGTTAAGGTCAATATGCTGGGAAATATCTATTGGGAACTAAGCTATGCTCATTGCCACGAAAAGGCCCATTAGGTCTTCTTTGCTTTTTGTGGGTAAGGGGTGGGTGGGTGTTGGTGAGTGATTAACGAATCGAGGTTCAATGTTTTCAGGTCATGCTGCTGTGCAGCTTCCAGTTTATAAGGCATGAAGAAAAACGAGGAAACGATCGAACTTGAGGCGAAGCGAACCGAAACGGCATTTCATTTGATAAAGAGGAACGATGGGCGAAAGCATTGATGAACGCATGACGAGGTTGATCAAATCACCTTCATCCACTGGACGACCGACAATTTCACTGCAAACTACCCCATAAGACCCGAAATACCCTAGTTTCTACGCATATACTTTGAGCATGCCACCCTGGGTGAGTTACATCGGGTTATTCTGAGATCAACAAATGTTGAAATATCTTATTCCCTACAAATGTTGATGTTGCATAGCTTGATTAAGAAATGAGGAGCTGTGACGATTGTACGCTGCGCAGTTGATTGTCGTAATGGTATCAAATGCTGCACCGCACATCTATTGGAGAAGATTTAAGCGATGCGCCCGTATCGTCAAATCATTTGACATGTATCGCATGGTTTCAATGTTTTCACTGAACTAGTTTTCATTGTACTAAATACTAAGCAAATTAAAGTAAGGAAAACGCTTATCTGTTAGAATTTCTTGAACACCTCTTCCATGGATTTAAAAAGGGACTGTTTGGTGGAAGATATCGAATTTGGTGGTTGACGTGTAGCTGTCGCTGTTCATTCAAATCCCTCGGACTAACGGACGATAGAAATCTGCCACACCTGGTTGCTCAGTAGTGATTGGCGTGGATCAGCTTGAGAGAAACCCATTGAAAACACTCCAAGTAATCCTTGTTTGACATTCATATTTGATGAAACCGGCGATAGATGAACATGCTGTTGTGTTTAAGTTGGGTCGTTTCCTGTAGTCACTGTCTCTGTGTTGCGTTACTTGATCGCTGTGACCAATTGGCATATTGTGGTTGTATTACTTTCACAGTTTTCATGTTTCATTTCGCAGTCTGGACGGTCAGGTTCTCAATTGAATTGTATTGTCCATTTAGCACTCAATTAATCAAAGCCCTACTGACCGATGTGTCCGGGTTTGTTCCTCTGCGTCAACGTGGTTGTGAGGTTGTCATTGCCAACATCACGCAAATGTTTTGCGCATTCGTCGTTCTGCTTTACCTTTGAAGATCGAGGTTTGAATGTTATTTTCAACCCGTGGCTGCAATAGCACGAAATAGTTTGATTTTAATACTGAGGCGTTTGGCAACCTCGTTCAAATTATCGTCTGCCCATGCACATTTGTTTATTCTTTTTCGGTCTTTCGCGATGGTGAAGTGATAGGGTCTTTTCTGTCCATCTGATTTAACGTTCTGCATATTGTCGATGCGTACAACGGAAGGTACGTTGCGACATATATCAATGCTACCTATCGTGGTTGGTTTTTACAGCTTCAGTACTAACTAATGGAATGCCGCATGACGGTACTACAAAGGAACTCTAGAATGAACTGCTCCGTTCAGTCAGTAATCTGAAGTGTAATCCGAACGTTACATTGTTTTACTTCTTCACGCTTTGAAATAAATAAGAAGTCATTCCTTACACTTCCGTATCTCCACTTGAAATGAACTCGGTTTTTTATAGGTTGATACATTTGCAACCCCAGGGTGATGAATACCGTTCTCAAGCATACGCTCGCTTCACTAGTTTGAATTAATGGGACTCAAGATTTGCAGGTTTCGATTGTACTTGCGGTAGTGTTTTGATCGCGATGTTCATTAACGTTCCAACTGGTAATGTTACCATCTCTTAAAAAACGGATCATTTCAAGTGGCACTGAAATATTAACTTTTTGGTAAATGCAAAACAATATAAGGTTTGCATTGAATTTGAGATTTTTATTTACAGCTGCATGGCTTAAGTTGTATGTCGAGGCTAAAGATCTACTGGTCGTGGCTGCAGCAACCCAATGTTTGGCTAAAGTAGTGTGGGTCTAGGCTAAATGATTTTGGGTTTTGTTTAAAGCTTGATGGGAGAAGTTTTAGATGAACTCGGAACTCGTTTATGACATATATATATTTGGTTTTGAACCTGCAGCAACCTATTCCCGGTCGGGAATTTTCTATTCGGTCGAATACCACCTTTTTCAGAGTGTGAGTTCAGGCTGTCGACAGACGAGATTCTCTGTGGATAAAGTTCCTGATCTCGATTCACCAAATGGGGACTGACGCGCTCTGAGCCAAAGGGTGCGTTATACATGAACATAGCCCAAGAAAATTATTGCATTTTGATCATTTCGCTGTCACTTTCTTGGTCCTCCTGGTCAATTTTTGGATTTATCGCTGCGGTTGAAGATAGCGACAAGAACAATTCTGATATATTCACCGTTCCGAATTCATTCATATAGGACCCAGAGCCAAAATTGTTTGAAGAAGTTTAGTCTGAAAAGCTAATATTTGTCAAACCATCACTTCCACCAACTGTAATTAGACCCCCAGAACCATCACAATCGTGATTGTTACTGTTTCAGTTGTAGGTATGTTTTTCTCCCCTCACGCTGAGCATGCACTGGCAGCAATCCTCCAATGTGTGTCATGAAACTACGATCACTAATTTGAACTTATGCGTAATTTAGCTCCGGGTTATTGTTTCATGCAAATTGCGCTATCCACTGTTCAATTGTATCCCGTGTTCTTTTCTTATTTACCCTTCATTATTATTATTATTATTATTTCTCGCGAACAAACAGGTTTTACGGGAAATTATTCTGCAACAAACAGAGCTACTCCAGGCTTCTCGTAATACCTCTGCATCAAAGTGAGCGAGTCAGTATTTTTCACGGTTTTTTTGGTTAACTTAGTCATACAGTTCAATTCTCGATAAACTCCAACAGATGTGTCTGCTTCTAATTCTCGTAGTTAAACCTGAAAAGAACCTCGTTTTCTCGTATTGCTGACTGGAACATAAGTAATCCCTATCATCGCATACTAAACCTTTTGTTCTGTGTTAATTTTGTTGAGTTCTTTTTGGGAATCCACGTTTTCATCGTTTTTCGCAAAATCTGAACCACTATCACCATATATGTACTTTACTTCACTGTCACAATGAATTATCTCAGGCCAGCCTTGACATCTCCCATAACGTAAAGTTATCACTTGCTGATGACCATAACTGATTGCCTACATTAGTCGTTGACGGTTTATCGATATGTTTAGCAACATGCGATAGCCTCTTCGCGCCACAGAAAATTCGTCACCTTGTCTGAGCATAGTGCCCTCACATGGAAGTCAAATATAGAGATTGGTCACAGACGCAGATCGGAAATAAGTGATCATTTATTCAGTCTTGCCAAGTTCGGTAATCAAGTTTTCACCATATTATTCAATTCAAAATGCGGAATTAGATACTTTGTGAGCGTGTACATGCGTCTTCGTCACGAGCGCATACCCTAGGCTACTTCAGGTCCACAGCTAAGGCAGCTATACACTTCTCCAGGTCGCGGATAAAATAAAGGTCATTTAGACAGGTATAGTTTCTTGCAAATGCGCTTGGAGACGACCACCGGGTATATTCGAGGGCGTGCAGGTTTTTCCTGACCCGAAAACAAAAATACTATGACTGTCCATAGAAAGCGACGTATCATGCGCGAATGTGGCCATTGTCTTTTGTCCTACAGGTAACTTTTGGTTACGCAACAGCTAGATTTGTGTCTTCTAAAAGGCGGATTGGCTCTGCGGGGACCGCGTTTTGTTGCATTCCTTAGAGTCCGCATGGATTCCTCCGTGGGGCTAACTTATACTAACGAAGGAGCATCTGACACAAAAGAAAATTTAACAAGTCTCCCCACGAGTAACCACAATTGGGATGATGTGTTGACTAATTTCAGGTCAATCGCACATTTCGTGGGCTAAGGAGGCCCAGTTTCGTACGTCATAACTTGTTGCTATTTCATAACCCCGCTTCTTGTTCGCTACCTAAACTGTAGTTTTTATATTTCGCTGAGTATTGTGACCCTTTTTCAAAGTGCAAGGAATGAGTTTACATTTTCAGGCTCCAATGGTGTTCATTTTTCTGTCCTGCTTTTCATCACAGCACAGTAACAATTTCATCTGGGGGCAAGGAACTTCGTAAATATCATACTGGCATGGGAGAGGAAGACAAATTGTCAGATAATCAGACACGCGGAATACGTGCCACATGTTCTTCAGACTCATATCCGCACACCCCACAATCAAACGATTCACGATGTGAACATTTGAACCGACGCAGTCCTCCGAGTAGTCTTCGTCACCATCAACATCGCCATCGATCACGTGATCGTTCGGAACAGGATCGCGGTCAAAGTCACAAACACAAGCATGGTCACAGGCATGAGAGAGGTGGTCACCGTCGGCGACGACGACGAAGCTCATCCTCTCGATAACAGTCCGTTTGCATTTCCATAACTGTGTACTATCAAATAAAATTTGCAATTTATTAATTTTTACATGTAAACCTGTTACGTACAGACAAACTCGTGGATGGTCCTTTAGACTGTGATAGATGTATTCCAAGTCCGCTAGTACACTTGAAGCCTCCTCCCTGAAATGTTTGAAATACCGCTATTCAGATAAAAATTCTTCAAGTGCTAATACACGTACCACTAAACTGCCTCGGTAGCGCTGTACATCTGCTTTATCTATTTTGTTAACTGTCGTCCATAGTACATGATCGTCTATAGTCGGAATCCGAATGTGCATAGTTTTAAGTTCCTCACTTATCTTCTATCCGTGTCTTTGTGGAAAGGAACGTTTCATCAACTAATCATGTTCAACTGGCAGTTACTTGCAAGTGGTGTAGTGGGAAAAGCGTTATTGATTTATTGACTGATCATTTTTTAATTTAAATACAGCACAATAGTCATTCTATCACTCCGTAGCCAAATCACCGTTTTCAAGGCAGCCTATAAACTCCTCAAACTTGGCTAAAACGTAATACCCGGGCACGTGAACTTCAAACTCATGCATCCGCTTATTCATTACTTCAGTCGTACTCTCACATACCAATAAAATCTGTTCAGACCCTTTAGTGTATGCTCAATACTCAGTTGTCTCAACGCCCATCGGTGTTTGCGGTACACTGAAGAGCGCAGGTACTTGTTGATTGGCGCATTTATATGATAACATAGTTTCTCAAAGAGTGTTATAATTACTCATACAATTGTGGATTGGTTCCTACAGAATGGGTGTTAAATTCCCTTCCCGTGTTCGTCAGTTAAGAAACTGGCTGATCACCATTTCAGAGGCATTCATCATGAGAAATGAGTATTTATGTTAAAATTAAGTTTGTTCACCTTTGCTTATTCGACGTGTTTCTTGCGTGAGACCAACTAGTCTCCAGTATGGCAGTGAGTTTGCAAACTCTGGCTTTTGCTCGTTCCGTGATGAATCGCTACAGTCGGTTAAAAAATACGAGTTAAGGTCTCCATAATAAGCATTGTTGGAGGGTTGCGCTAAGGCGAATCTTCATCAACAGAATGAGAATTAAGTCTAAATTTTAAGTTAAATTCACTCGCGTGTGGGAAACGTCGATGATATCCAGAATCTGGTGCATCTGAGACAATGCAAAGTCGTTGGGGTATTGCAATGGAGGTGATGGGTGGTCATGTTGGTGAACCGAAGTTAGTGTAGTAGCGAGTAGGTAATCTTTAATCTCAACAAACAAAAACAAAATTAATCGTAATTTTGCAAACCCCGTTTTCTCATCAGATCATGTTTTATTTACTTTGTGAACGCGTGTTGCTTGTGATACACCTACCGGTGCTGTTAAACCTTTTGTATCAACACAATTTACCACTTGCATTAACTCGCTTTGATAGTTTCTTCCTAATTACTCTATATTATTAAACCTTGTAAATTCCCCCCACCAAAAATAATGCTTATCTCGATGGCATACGTCTGAATAGTCCTAATTCGCTTCAAGTTCTTAAACGAGCTCCGGTAGACACCTCGGATCACTGTACAATTTTTCGTTCTTCCAAAGTACTGTAAAACGAACCATTATCGTCATTTCTGACCCTCCTCCCGTACTCCAAGTAATGTAGAGAATTCGTTAACCTGAGAACTTAACCAGGCTCAGGGACTCAATTTCCTCTAATGACTTTCCTGTTTTCCAATAACCAGTTCTCTTTTTCTCGTAAACATCTTTCT